GTAACAATTAGATGATGACTGAGGTTGATGTGATTCCGACTCCTCTTCCTCGGTGCTTGTCGCAGTGTGGTATATGCTTTCTACAATTGTATTGTTGTTTGAAGTGCTAATAACATTCATGTTTCCACTGACAGCCGATGTGACGTGCAGGGGGAGGTTCAGTCGTCTTCTTGCTGGAGAAGTCAGACTTCCTCCGACGTTCAGGGCCGCTGATGAAACTATTATACCTCCTTGTCGAGTGGAAGAGAGATTTTTTCCTGGACTATTTGTAGGTGTGTTGCCATTGACGTCTTCTCGTTGTGTTGGAGGAAAATTTTGTTGGTGTATGTGACGTTGGTATACCTGAGGATTTTGTGCTATGTTTTGTTGTTGTTGTTGTTGAGGTATAGTCTCATACTGCGCGTCAGGTGCAAGGAAGTGTTGTTCTGCACCAAGAAGCTGAACAAAGTCTGTAGTTGTTACTTCATGATAATTATTATTTCTGTGCTGCATATGATGCAGTCTACTTGCCTGTTGAAAAGCTGGACCCTGATCATAAGGAATATTTTGAGGACACGGATAGCCGTGAGAAGGTGATCCAAACACATCATTTCCTGATGAACTCATTGGACTACATACTGCAGATGTAGATCCTGAAGAACTGACAACTTCTGATGAGTTGTTATGATTGTCATAATAACTTCCACAATTCTCAAGTTCTTCTGTTGGAAAACTACCAGGCGAAGATGCGGAAACTGACATGGGTGACACGAAAGCTACGTCATTATTGTCTGCTGATGGTGTGGCACTGCTATTGCTTGACGCTACTAAACTTTGCTGTGCAGGATCTTTGGGGATATCGGATCTTGCGTTATTTAGCGCGCACATTTTCCTCATGCTCTCGGCATCTATACATTCTCTATTGGTAGTAACTAAATTTTTACATCCTATACCTTCTTGCACATCTTCTTCAACTGTTGAAGAATCTTGCTCTGATAGATGATGATGTGGTAAAGGAAATGGTAAACGGTTTCGGTTTGATGATTGTCTTTGATAGCTAAAACAATTACTAGTAAGTTCTTGTTCCTCACAAGTCACAACTAAAGCACTGCCTTCTGATATCAGTCTGTGATGATGTTGGTGTCCTTTATCTGTCATGATTACACCTTCTTGCAAAGGAAGTCTTTGAAACTGATGACTACTTCCTGAAGAATTCATAACCTCAGCTTGAAGAAGTCTTCTCTGGTGATGGTACATCTGGTAGGACTCTGGTAACCTCTGGAAATGCCCACCAGATGTTGAAATGCCTGGTTCTTCTCCTTTATTTATCATCATCAGCCTGTGCTTTTGTGGGTCAAGAGCTTCATCATACAGTGATCCATCATTTCTTACTGAAACATTACAGCAAGATGATACATCTGCAAAATAAACTTCTGATTCTGTTGGCTCATTTCTGCCATGCAGAATCTGTTCCTGTTGCTCCTGAAGCTCAAGAACTTCTTGTCCTTGAAAGGCTGCATTTGTTACACCTTGCAAATGTGACATGTACCTCATTCGAGGAGACATACCGCCAGGCGGAACGCCACTAACTGTCCCGTCCTTTCCCCTCACTAGTGCTGAACTCGATGGTAATGAATGAGGATACTTCTCTGCTACCAATTGTGTGTCTTCTGCTGACAATGCATCATCATGGTTAGTGTTATGATAATGGTCTAAAAGTTGACAGCCCTGTTGCCCAAACAGAACCTGAACATTTGTCCTAGGAAAACTCCCACCTCCATTTCCACCACAACCACCACCACTGCCATTACCACTAACATCATTTGGATTATTTCCGCTGTTGAAATGGCTTGGTGATGTTTTTGGACTTCCAACTTGATGTTCTGAAGAGTAAGGAATATTTCCTACAGATTTTACTGAAGATATATCAATGCGCTTCTTAGTCTTCCTTGCGGGTAGCGTGTTGCTAACTCTGTCTTTACTGACAGAAGAATCAGTATTGTTTTCGCTTGTAGTAACTTCACCTGATGTTGCAATTTCAGCTTCACTTGTATTCACATAGTTCTCAACAATCACACTTTTATCACCATCACTGACGTTGATCACACCATCACCTGATGAAGATGAGAACTCATCAAACCTTCTCTGGTCCTGGAATCTCCGTACACCCCCTCGGTGCCGCTGCAAGTTCTTCAGGAGACCACCTTGTCCTGACATTACACTTTGGTCATCAGCAGCCACTGGAACACCCCTATTGGCACCTTGCTGATTCATCTGACAATGATGGTGATGATGGTGTAAATGATGATGGTGTTGATAATGTAACCGAGACGGACTTCCAGTTGTAATATTGCCTGTTGGCCCTGGATGTCCTTGAAGTAAGTTCATTATAGGCTCCCGTCTTGCAGGACTATTGCAATGCGAGTTGTTCCCAGAGTGAGGATTGGAATATGGAGGGGGCGGTCCCCACATGTAGTATTGCTGGGCATAGCCCTGTGGTTGCTGAATGGCCTTCATACTTCCTTCAGTTACAAATGGCCCCAAAGTTCTGGGACCAGTAAAGCTTCCTGGCGGATGGGATATAACTGGGTCTCCATGAGGATCTCTGATATATGAATTAGGATTACCTTCCACATTAGCAGGAACAGATGGGGAAGTACCTTCCACTGGTGCTGGATGACTACTGAAACCATACTGGCTATCTGGACTGCTGGTTGCATGTCGGCAATTTTGTACACCACTTCCCGGCCCCTCTCTGTGAATTTAAAAGTTTATTAACCAACCTACTACCAGAGTTCTGAAACTGTCGTACAAGACGTTAAGATCAAGTGATGGTAATGCCAAAGAAGGTTCTAAATTCACATTTTGATGTAAGTAATATACTAGTGCAGCCACATTATATCTTTTGTCTCAATTTAAATTTATTTTGCGCAAAAATCTTGGAAATTATAACATCCAAATTTGACTGTAGAGAAAGAAAGCAAAATTGCAGCAGGTACAACATTGTGAAATAACAAGTGCTCAAAGAAATCTGTGTTAAAAAGCAGTGACAGCTATTTCATTTACACTGTCATCTTTTGAATGAAAGTAGTTTTAGAATGATGGAAGACTGGATAGCAGACTTTCATAAGGTTCAGTCTGTACCTATGCGAGTGGTCAGGTACTGGTCCAGTATTAGTGCTTGATCCCCGTGACCACGGCAATCTACGCCAGCTCCATCCTGATGATGTACGCTCCTGCCCACGTAACCTCTGCGTTCCCATGTTCACAGCTCCGGTATCCTCTCCAGGGTTTGGAGAGTAGAGGTTACCAATCCTGCCAGGTGTCCAGTACCTGCTTATAAACATTTAAATGTTAGTTTCAAGAGAATTTCCCTCATTCACTGATAAGTACAGTCTACGACTGTAATCTTGAGACTTGCAAGGAATGTAAGTCCATAGCGTTAAAGGCAGACGCTATCTTTTTCCTTCACCCGACTTCCTCACCCTGCAAGTCTCAAGATTACAGTCGTGGACTGTAAGTAATTTATTATTTACATTTTACTGTTTCCTAATTAATAGTAGTAGTTTTGTTATTGATAGATAACAGGGTGGTCAAGGATTCAAATTCTACCAACAGCACAGGAATTTACATTAATTTTATCACAGTCAATCTTGAAATTCTATAAATTTTGCCACGAGCAAATCTGCCATGCAAGTACAAACAGCTTGAATCAGATCACTGTAGCATTTTGAAATGTTTGATAAATCATATGAAAGCCTTTAAGATGATAATTCACAGATCACTTTCAAGCACTCTATCGACTTCTTAGATTCTTCAGCATAGAAAATGATTTTCACTCTCCTTATGAATAATATAATGTAGGAGGAATAATAAGCATAGAAACAGTTATGGTCTATTATTTTAACATTTGCTGAGAAGCCTATAGAAATTTGTTCAGTTGGTATTATTATTCTCAGCCCACCTTCAGGTCATCTACCTCCTAAATACAGACACACTTTATACAGTCTGGCCTGTGCATTATACTTTCTTTTGCATGTTTATAAATCATGGTGACAATTATTTGCTGATTTGCTTTGTAGATGTGTATTAATAAGTGCAATATGATTATTAATTTATTTTGGAAATAGTATTAGTAAAATTATGCTATTTTATTATCACAATTATTACAAATTATTGTAGCCTGTAATATTTCTCAGTCCAGTTTCCACTTTATAAAGGCTGTACATCTACTTATTAGGAACTGGATCTCAGTATCGCTCTTGGCTTGAATGCAGTTGTCTCCTCCAGCTCTACTTACAAACATTTTTATTAAAATTAATAGTCGTGCTATTTCCAAGTTCCAAACAAAACAGTGACACATTACAAAAATAAAAACAGAATTTACAAAAGTGAACCTCATTCATCATTGAACAAAAAATAAAATTTATATTGGTTTTATTCATTACAATTATTGTGATTCTGTTAATATTTAAATATTTCTTCCCACTATCTTCTATTTTACCTATCATCCATGACTTCCCATGGAAAGAGCTGATGTGGGGGTGGATATTGGCACTCATCACAGCAAGCACAATGATGTGGATTTCGTTGTTGACGATACAGATATCGGCATCTCATCTCCAGTTGTTCCCAGTACATTTTCTTCTTTTCATGGCTACCAGACACAGTTACAAAACATTTATATATTTAAGCTTTTATTATTATTTCCAATACTGACACGGATACTTGTACAAAAGAAAGCCGTCACTACTGCGCTTGGATCGTGGAGTCTGCTGCAGTATAGAATTTAACTTTAGGATTCAGAATTGTCATTTAGTTTGGCACTTTTTAACAAATCAATTGTAACACAGCCCCACTTGTAATGTCGGCACACGATGTGAGTCCCAGCGACTGCATTAAAGTGTGGTACCAGTGCATTTTATTTTATAATATGCTACTCTCTGCCAAGGATAAAATATAAAACGTGTTAAAATAGATGATAGGAACTTCCATTTCATTTCACCAAGGAAGAACTACTGTCAGTTAAATATAAAATTTTACATCTTCTATAAATGATTTCTACATTTATGGGTCAACATTTGCACAGAGTCCCTAACTGTCTGTATCTTCCTATTCTTGCATTTCATTTACCCTCCTCCGGTCTCAAACTCTCCTCTCTACATCTCTCTTGACTTGGTATATGCATTTCATACACAGTCAGTCCCTGGGCCTTCTTCCCCTCAAATTAATTTCCAATAATCTTTTTGGAATCTCATGCTCGCATATTCTTATAACATAGCCGAACCATTTCAATCTCCTTCTCATAATTTGGTTATGTATTTCCTCCCGCTTTGTTTTATCCATTAATGTGTATATTTACAACTCTACCTCTCCTGCTTTTTCCTACTGTTTCCTTCAGGAATTTCATCTGAACTGCTTGAAGTTTACTTTCTTTTCTCTTAGTTCATGTCCATGTCTCTGCTCTGTATAATAATAATTTATTTATAAATAATATATTTTTAATGTATACATTGTATATTGTAATTTTACATTATATCTTTATTCCTTAAAAAACTATTAGCTACATTATAACATTTGAAAGCCTTTCCAATTCTTTCATCTCCTTTTGGGTCTCCCCGCTTTTCCCCACCGTGCTCCTCCAAGTAGAATTATATAATTTTTGTTTTCTGAGTCTGATAGTTGCCTGACAATGTTAGAATCTGCCGCGCTATGGGAACCTTGATCTAAATCCATTTATACGCATGACGGGATAATTGTGATTAACCCTTCGAAGCTGAAAGTTACACGCGTGTCCGTGCTATGTCACGATATTATTTTTAACTGGTGGTATGACTGAAATGGGTCTCAGATCAGTAAAAAAATGTAATTGTAATACCTTAGTAACTGGTAGATGAGCATACAGGAGAAAATACAGACAAGAATTCCAATGACCGACAGACCAAACATGGCACGAAGGCAAGAATAGAGGGCACCATGAATCACCTCACAGTCTGGAGTCGAGTTGAACACGTAGTGGACGACTGAAACACAGACATATTTGATCGCATCACAGCGTCTGTAATAACTGAATCCCATTCATAAAGATCTATAAAAGCAACATCATCTTATAAGATTAATAATCCTGACATGGTTTTCTCATTTCTTCGTAGCCTCTTCAAGCAAATTCAGGAACAATATTTGAACGTCTGCTGGTAAAATGTTTTATTCTTTTGTTACCAATTTATGTAATAACCTTCCTGCCTTGATATAAACTCCAACCCCTATAAGCCATTGCCAGTCCTCAAAACATTGTGTATTATATAATATCAGATGACGGACAAGAGCCAAAAAACCAACAATCCAGGCTCAAATCTCTTGTTTCTGAAATTACAATTATAACCACCACTTTACTCGAAAGCCATAAGAGATCTTACATTTATCTCACTAAATATTCAAAATGAAGGAAAATGTTTCAGATAAAGTTACAGACTTCAATGTTGTGATATATACAAAGTATTATGCAATTAAAAATCATTTGTAAACTTGATCAAATTTTATATGAATTTACAATATAAATATGAAGAATATATCTCAGTGCTCAGTGGAATTACTTACTGTCAGAAGTAGCTCTTGCCGTTGTTGCAGATTCCATTGACACGGGATAACACGTGCAAGTCTGCGTCATCCTCGTGTAGACGCACTCTCTCAGCATCTGCAGCCTGTTCATGTGGATCACTGTCGTGGTGATTGTGACAATCACACACAGCACTGCGCAGCCCAAACAGCAACCACCACATAACTTGATCTGAAAGCAGAATGTCTTACAACTTCTCTATATGCATGACTCTTTGTTGCCTCAAACAGTAGTATAAGTTCAATTTCTTCATCATTTCATCTATATTTGTTACATCGGTACTTGTGGGTTATCGGGACACATCACTTTAAAAATAGGTTAGGTTAGGTTACGTTATGTTAGGTTAATGTGTGTGGATAAATGACATATACTTGAAAGTTATTATATTTTATTTCAATAAATGACAACTCAACTCAACTAACCTAACCTAACCTTTCCACTACTATTTAATATAGTATCTAAAATTATGTATATCACTGAGGATGGACTCACCAGGTATCCATAACGGTTTCTTCTTCCAGCCAAACACATGACAATCAGACCAGTCACTATCAGCTGAAAGTGAAAGAAAGTACTGCTATTTTTAGTGATTAAGATAAATGTCTGGTAATGTACAGGTAACCCTCGATTTGCGCCGATTCAGAATAACGCCGATTTTAAAACCAGCAAGTCAAAAAGTGAAAGAAATATATTTTACTATTATTTATAACGTTTTACAATGTATCTCGTACTGAATCTTATACTAAATCGTAATTCTTACATCGCTGATTTTAAATAAAAATTATAAATACAGTCATCTCTGCAATTACGTATGTTTCGTTAACGCGGATTTACTCCAATGAGATCGATGAATCGATAAAAGCTGTTTGTGAAAATCAAACATTTGCATATGCGAGTTTGCTCTTATGCAATTTCATTCCTGGCGCTTTAAACTTTCAAAGGACTAATTTAATCTCTGCGGAGGTACTGGGGTTGTTTTTACTATGCGATTTTCTATAAATCGGCGTCTTACATTAATGCAAATTTGTAATTTGACAAAAGCAACAATTTAAACAAAACTTAACATATTTAAAAAGCTCCTTGGTTCTTAATGTTCTGTCAATACCCAACAGAAGTCAAATGACTGTCAGGTTCATTAACTCATACAATTAATTATGCTCTATGAAGTTACGAAGTTCTTCAGTGCTTAATGAGAACAAGGGATCATTATATGTTGTTAACTGGAAGCACTGGGGATTAGTTACGACCTATTTAAATCTATTATCAAAACATCTGCCTAGAGGGACAGAGGAAAACTATAAAACCACTTAAGTAGCCAGCGCTTTGGCTGAGAATCCAACTTGATACCTCCCAAGTATTTCTGGCATTCTGATGATCTGATAAAATGTTGCGTGATTAACCCTTTGAGCCCTTGAGGTTTCGTGTCACAACCACAGTTTAGAATATCAATGTATCCCTGCCCTGTGGTATCTTCGGGAAACACCCGTGGTACATAGTTAGTGCTGCCATCTAGTATCCACCCATGGTACTCGGTTTTCAATTTCCTTTGATAGCAAGCTTCAGCCACGTGATTAAGTCAAGTACACTTTAAAATAATATAATGTGAGTATGTAACTTTTTGGGACATTCTGTATACATCCAGACTAATGAGTGTTGTTTGGTGAATAGACAGTGCATCCTAATGGGTGGGGATTCCCGATTGGGCTTAGTGTGGAGCCCTTGGGGACGAGCTTACCATTGCCGCGGGAACGTAGGTCGGAACTGTCTCGAAGTAGTTCAGCGACGATGTGTAGGAGCGCAGCATGAAGTACACCGTAAGGAACAGAGCCCCTAGCAGAACTGCCAGTCCGCCGCACGCAGTACACAGAAAAACGTACTTCCGGAACCAACAGGACCGTCGCAACACTGCAAAACAGCCACAGAAAAAATTATAGCCAACAATCCAGAAGACAGACGAATGTAGCAAAGCGTTAATCGGAATTTTCAGCCTACAACTTTCATAATGGAAAACGCTGACAAATCACGTATCATATCTAGTCTTCGCTACGCTGCAACCAATGAGAAGACGAGTTGCTTCGTGTATTGGTTTCTGAAACCCCGCTGTTGGCAAGATACACGCTCGAGGATCGTTTTCCTGTTTGTTGCTGTCAGTCAGACACGCGGTGTTCCGTGATATGCGGATTTGCATTCACATTTGTTACCGAATGGGCTCCAATTTGATTCTAAATTTGCTCACACTCATTCAAGATTTTGAGGCTTACAAAAATATCAGACTCTTTTGATAAAGATTTCGCCAGAAGGAATTAAAATTCGGCTCTGAGTCCATAATGGACAACATTGACAATTCAAGGTATATGCCTAACCAAAATTCATACGATTCTCTAACAAAAATATCAATTCACCTTGCAATATCCTAAACACTTATGTTTGATTTCATTCAAGTAACGTACCTTTAATGCCAGTATAATTTTGTTTCTAGAATTCATCGTGTCAGCGAAGTTTAAATCCCGTCAAAGTAATTTTTTGTTAATTAATATGTCTTCACTTTTATTAGCAATATTCAGGAATGCATATTACTTAGGCATTTTTCTCGATATTATTTCAAATTTTCGCTCCTTCCTAATGGAACGTAGTGACGTTTAACGCGGTAGAATGAAACACAGACGTAACTAACTCCTTCTTCAGAACCTAACAATAACTCAGCTAGTCGAGAAATTACCAGCTTTTTTTTCGGAATCAGAGAGCGTGGAATTTAATCCTTGCCCAGAAACAATCGAATACGCCCCATTTCTTTAAGATCGTTTTTAATATTATGGGCACCATTCTTCTAGGCTGTGAGAGGTTCCACACACTATTCTTTTACGGCAAAAGATTGTTATCGATGCCTTTTTTCCTATGCTTTCGCACAAATGGTAGAAACATTAGGAAAATCACGAAAGAGAAAACTAAGTATTGCTATTTATCATATGGTGTACATGAATTGTTTTAATTCGTAACGTCAAATAAGATTTTATTTTCCTGTTTTGGGAGTTTCTCTTGGAGGGTTTCCAAAACAAGCAGGTGATGTTTCTGCACACAACATTCTCTCTCACGACCCGCATTGATTTGTACACCGCGTTCCGCCAGAAATGCCTTCCCTCACCGCAAACCTTCATTTCGTTTGGATACAGAATCGTTACCGGTAACAGCGCACGTCATTTCCAAGCGATAGAAAATCGAAAATATGTCGCGGTTTGAAAAATTTTTAGTCACTAAATGGAGATTAATGTAACAATCACACTTTTGACTCATGTCGCTAAATCAATTACGACAAATAACCGAATTATATAAAACTGTTTTTAGAGGATGGTATTTTCTACAGTAAAACTCACAAAAGAAATTGCATAGTTCAAAGCCTTCATTTGAGAGTTAATATCTTTTTTTTTAGCTGTTTAAAGAATTCCATTTTGCAATCGAACCAGAAAAATACACGTGCCTGCACCTAATTTCTGAATGACACTGTTCTGAATCACAAAAAATTCCAATCTTCTGCCTCAGAGCAGAAAACACCTTCACCTCTACACCTCGAACTCCCAAATTGTTTCTTTTCGTACGCAGTCTGAGAACAGAGTACTGGCGAGGGCACACGGACCTAAGAGACACCGGAAGTAAGACAAAGCTGGAGGAAAGTAAGATTTGAGTTCTCCTCTAAATATTATTAGGGTAATCAAATCATGTAACACGCGTGGGATATATGAGAAATGCATAGAAAATTACGATCGGAAAACCTGAAGAGAAGGAATCATTACAGAACAATATTAAAACGGATCTTGAAGAAATTGTTTATAAAGATGTGAACTGCATTCAACTGGCTCATAGAGGGCACAGCGAAGAGCTGGTGTTAGCGTGGTAATGAACGCCCTGACTAGCTATGAGAATATCAGTCTCTCAAGAAAGGCTCTGCTACAGGGAGCTGGATATGTTCACGACGTCGTTGTTCTGGTTTGTGACGCCGTGTAAACGCCGTCCTAACCCAGAACATCACGAACATCTTCACCGCCGTGAATCTCATATGCTTAGATATCAATATCCGACATGTATTAAGCAAAAATGGTACAGGAAAGTCAAACTCCAAAGACTTTAGCTTATCTAGAACGTCATTTCAAGGGGTTCTTGCAAAATCCTATCACCCAAACCGATATTTCATTAGTTACAAGAGAATTCAACGACACAACGACGCTGAAAATGTGGATCGTAGTCTTGTGGGTAGTAATTAACAACTCGGAGAGGTACTGCTGCCTCCATCGTCAGAGATGTGGGCAACAGTATATCTGAAACGTGAGTCAGTTTCTACCACACAAGGAGAAACACGCCAGAAATCATCTATCATCATAGTAGCAGCTGTGAGAACCTAACCTAAAATATCACCGATTGGAAGGCGTCTACAGTAAAGATGGCGGCAGTGCACAGATTCACAAATCAATTACACTCCTGATAGACGTTTTCTTCATCACTCGTTATAAAATCCGTAAGTTAAAGAAAGAGCCACGGTGGTCTGGCCTTGTAATCCTGGGGTCTCGGGTTCGATTCCCGGCGTTGCCCGAATTTATAACTTGTGTTGGGCAAGGCCGTGGTCTAGGCAACACGGAGTTTTCCTCCGTGGCATCCCAACAATTACTCCATTCACACACAGAAGAAGGCAATGGCAAACCACTTCCGGATCATCTGCCAAGAACGTATATGAACAGGTCCCAGGCCGAGAAAAGGAGGGAAGGATCCTGTTCATACGTACCTGTCGTCAGACAGAACACTAAAAAAAAAAAATCTCGTAGTTATTCAACAAAATTCCCGCCTGTTATGCAACTATAATATCCATTATCGTATTCACTAGTGTCACCATCGGAGCATACAATACATGTCAGTCCGGAGGAGAGTCCAGTTACATACTAACCTAACCTCACCCAATAAATAAATTCTTCCTTTGTTCACGCTGTGCAGGTTTTCAAAATCTGAAAATCAGACCGCTTCACGTTTAACAACACCTGTAATATTGAGGGCTTTTAGACATTCAAATTCAACGTTCACGTGTTTCTGTAAAGTTGGTCGGGATAACTCCCAGCTTATGGATTGTTATGTAAATCTAAGTATAACATAAAAGTCGGTGTTAGTGCGGTTGACTGGGTGACAGTTGGGCGTGTTCAGACAGTGAAACCCGTGTCTGTTTGCTTCCCGGATCTTTGATTCGTTCCGCAAATGCAAAAGAGAAAGCTATTCAAGTTTGGGCGGTAACCTCGATAAAGCCTTGTTCCCTCAATCATTTCTGCAGCGTCTAATTACTGTTCTTGACATTGTTAACATTTACGCAACTCTTTATAAAATAATGTAACATGGCTCACTTTTCCGCATCATCTTCAAACCATCTACTAATACATTTGTCAAGTACGAGGCGCGTCCACAAAGTAAGTTTCCCACTCGTCCCACAGCTAGCAAACCTTATATTGAGCGAAGCGACTGTGCGTACGTGATAGAGCAATGACGTAGCATGGCGCATGCACTAACGGTACTTCCCGCGTTCTCACATTAGCATCGTTGCAGCTGTTGAAGATGGAGGTTCTTATTCCAGCTCCCGCCGACTGTGAAGTGCGGTCAGTGATAACGCTAGGCCGCACACGGCTCGACGGACAGCAAGTCTCCTGCAGGAGTTCAGCTGGGAGGTGTTTAATCATTCACCCTACAGCCCGGACCTCGCTCCCAGTGATTTCCATCTTTTCCTACACCTCAAGAAATTCCTGTCCGGTCAGCGTCAGCGTCAGCGTTTTGAGAATGACAGAGAGGCGGAGATGGCTGTCACACAGTGGAACATTTAACAAAAACAACACCTTCGCCCAAAAATGGAAAAACAAACGTAATGAAACATCACCAAAATACTACAGAAATCATAATTGAGTTTTAAGTTCTTAGATATATTTTACACCTGATGATGGTTTTATAAAAACCGAAACATGTTGTGTAAATGTTCCGAAATGTAAATCGATCAATCGATATGGAACATGAATGATATTTTATTATCTTAATTATAAGAAATTTTAAATATTGTGATCAGACGGATTAAAATAAATAAAAGTTTTGAAGAGTCTGATAATTGAAAAACCAGCGCAGAAGTGAAAAGATTAAGACGAGAATGTTCGTGGCATGCGTTTTTCAAAGACTCCACAACCTTTATGCCAGCCTCATCTTCACATGACGCAAACCTTTGAATAATCAAGGAACCGTTAGCCGAATTGTAATGGAGTAACGATTGTATGGCTGGTAATAAAAAGTTCTCCTGCCGTATCCAATTCCTGACGGCTGAATCACTGCATTGTAAAAGTCAGAAGTGTTGCAAAGAACACGACATTATTAACATTAAATGAAGTGCATTTCTAGACAAACGCCAAATTCACGGATTAAGACGTCCACACGAAGTTACAGCTCAGAAAACCAACATCAACGCGTTACAATTTAATAAGGTTCGGGGTTTTGGAAGACAGATGTCTTCTGGGTTGTAGCCCCGTGACTCATCGCCCTGATGATGGAGGCAGCAAGGACCTCTGAAACGTCGGTAAACTTCTACCAGACTACACGGCGCTACAGCCTAGAAACAGTTATCTTTGTTCAAACTTAGTTTATTTTTAATTTGCTTTTCTCACAGCCAGTTCTTTTGAAGAGCCTTTAAATTTTAAATTTTAAACAAACGAATCAATAATTTCTTGTTTTAATCAAATGCGCGTAAGTTACCTCGTCACGTATTTGGAAGCCATGCCATCATGATGTGTCTAAACAGACCCCTAAAGTTCATCCTCACCCCCACCCTTATATCGGGATGTTCGTGCCTAAGTGGCCAACCCCTGAGTTAGTACTCGACTCTAACTCTCGATATCTGCCTTCTCTGTCTGATGCATTAAAAAGTGAATGCACATTAAACTTAGTACGTGGGAGGGGGAGAGAGGCTGTTTGGATCAATACGTTCAATCTGACCGTAGAAGTTTCCGACTCACATCTTACATGATTCACCATTCAATTTTCAGCCTTATCTAAGACAGGCAGCTTGAGACCTCTCAATGGACCTTACAACATTGTTCTAGCACAAAGTGGATCCCTTGGTTCGAGTTACAGAATCTTTATTCTATAAAATTGTGAAAAATGTATGTGGTTTATGTTCTGCATTTACCGTAGAAAGATGCTTTCTCCCTTAGCTTGTACTGAGGTACCGGGAGGCCCTAAAACTAGTGTTTCTTAACCTATGGCCCGAAGTCAGCCACCAAATTAATCTCTAATCTCGAGTTAATTCACAGAAATTTTGGTTAAAGAACCGGAGATTGCAGAAACCAGTGGCATCCGTCGAAACTGAACAAGGTTTTGGAAATTTTTGAACCAATTCACCTTCTGGAAACCATTTCAGCACCTTTTTACCTTGTACTAACAAGGTTGAAACCTTGAGTTATGGGTGGATAAGTCATGTATTGTACCTTTTGTAACTGTGAGAGATTTTCCTCAGATTCTCCAGCTAAACATTGCTTTTATTCTTTAAAAATAGGCCACGACAACTTTCTTAATTTTTTTTTCAAGTTCATTATATCGACCACTCTAACATTCGACGCCACACAGCCTGAACTACTAGCAGCGACGCTAAAATATAAATAAATCAATAACTTATTCGTATGCTACCTTTGTTATAAAATATAAAGATTCTGCTATAAAGCATTTGTACTCTGCGTCTTTCCACAGTCAACGTATATTAATACCAAAGCCAAGTTTTTAAACAAGCAAGCTTTATATCAAATCTAAAAGTTCTTGACGATGGTGATGAGTCATTTGAATAAAAAACGTCCTGAAGACGGAGATAAAGCCCATCTCCGAAACGTGGTTTTACGTTTTATATATTTTTTTGACTAGGCGTGAGGACGGTAGGATGGCTCTGGTCCCTGAGAAAATATTTTTCATTATCTGTACTATTATAAACCTAAGCTAATTTTCATTTCAAGATGGCTGTCTTCTGGGTTGTAGCGCTGTGTAGTCTGGTTAGAAGTTTATCGACGTTTTAAATGTGCTTGCTGCCTGCATCATCATTGCCGTGATGATTGAGGTAGCAAGGACCTCTGAAACGTCGGTGAATTTCTATCAGGCAACTCGGCGCAACAACCCAGAAGCCATTAGACCTTAAAATCTCACAAACTTAAATTTTATGATCTACAAGTATGTAAAGTCTTACAAAGACCCTCGCTGAATTTGTAACAATAATTTATTTTGTAGAATTGCATTCTAAGGGAATAAAATTTCATGTTTATTTCAATCTATAAAGTATGAAAAAATAAAACCATGGAAAACACGTGGAAATAAAATCAAACTATAATTAAAATTTACTTGTATAGACAAATAAAACAATGTCAATATAATGTGAACTCGAATGTTTTCTGTGTTTACCTCAAGCAAGAAATTTTGTGGTTATCTGAAATGTTCATTGCCGCTGTACGTTTTCTTACTATCGGCGGTACCTACCGGGAGGAATTGGTTGTGCCTCCTCGGGCACGCGGTATTCCACCACCTGCATGACAGGAAAACCGTGCATACTGAGAAGCCTCTTCAGTTCACAAGGATAGTCCCTAGATCAAGCCTCTTCAGCATCACGCTTCTCTCCGTAGACTTTTCACGTCGAAAAGTATGAAATGGATTTGCTTTGCGTGATTGCACTTTTCAGTCTACTCCAAATCTGAAGGTTTCAGTCTCATGTGATTTAACTCGCATTTCCTGCCTTCTGTGAACTTCTACAAGCACAATTAATTAAAATTAAATTATTCGGTTATTTCTTCAAATCACAATGTATTTAAAATAAGAATAATTAAAATAATTAAAATATCATTCTTTGTTCCATATCGAATAATCGATTTACAATTGGAACAGTTACAACATGTTTCGGTTTTATTAAACCATCATCAGGTGTAAAATTATATTAAATTTAAAACTCAATTACAATTTTTTACAATTCATATGAAAATATCTGGACACGACCTCCAAAACTACACTACGAAAAAATTGTAAAAAATTGTAATTGAGTTTTAAATTTAATATAATTTTACACCTGATGATGGTTTAATAAAACCGAAACATGTTGTAACTGTTCCAATTGTAAATCGATTATTCGATATGGAACAAAGAATGATATTTTAATTATTTTAATTATCTTATTTTAAATACATTGTGATTTGACGGAATAAACAAATAATTTAATTTTAATAAATTTTAAGCACATTTAATTTAAACAGCTCCGTTCATGATTTTATTCGTACACTTCTTCGTGTATTCGTTGTACAATCAAATAAATTCACAACTACTTTCATGATATTTTATAAAATTCTGTTTGAATTATTCCCGATTTTATCATTACATTCATTTTTACTCGTGTTAAGTTAATTTGTCGATTCGCTTATTAGTACGCCATTTTATTTTCTATCCTTATCAACAGTTAATAAAACGTTGACTGTAACTTTGTACCTTCATTTCCCTTAAACACAAGTCTAGTCAACTTTAATCGATACTAAAATTTCCAGCCACAAAATACTCCCCGAAATTAATATATTCCTACACGTTGCGATGTTGAAATGAAAAGCTTACTTTTAGTATAGACAGCATTTCAGAATAGGCCTTCACGTAAGAGTTAATTATTTATGGTGAATAAACAATTTTGTTATAATTTCATTTTAAATATTAATTATATTTCGATTAATTCGAGATAAAGTTATCCTTTCCACAGACTTACCCATCGTTCAAGAAGTGTTACCAAACGTCCAACAGAAGGATTTAAAAGCATGAATTCTCAAGCAACCTACAGCTTCTATGAGCTTTAGCGACATAACGATTGAAAATTATGTAAATGTCCTGGATTATTTTCATTTTATTAATGAATACCTTATTTTATTTTCTTTCAAAATGCATATCAACCACGTTCGAAAAATATGTGGCTAATAACAATAACTTAAATAAAAGGTTAGCCTTTTTTAGCCCTCGTTTTATGAAATTTTATTTCTAAACAGATTTTGTAGTTTGAAGTTCGTAAAAATCAGCTTCTTTCTGTGTGCGCACGAATATTATAATCGTATACATCAAAAAGAACGGACCGCTCTGAAGATAACAGATGCAGCGTGCTTTTAACGCGTATTAGACCATAAGTTTTTAAATTACACTCTCTCGCGGTAAATCACTGACGGATCGCACTGTTCCCTCTAAAACTTGATGCGTACAGCAGTCGATGAAAGTAAAATTATCAATTTAAATACCCCACAAGTGCTCTGTCATGCCTGTCTGAAGTTACCGTCATGTGCATCACGTTTTAATAACACTGTCGCCGTTATACCAACTTTGCGTTGAAAACCCGTCTGTAATGATGTAGACGTTTCCATCTTGATTCTCGTGACCGAATACTTAAACTGCCGTAAAGCGGGAACGATACCCGCTTATATACGCCATATTTCACCAACATTAACAACACACAAGCGGCCATCTCACGGTGGTTCTCTGACGACGCCCATTGCCCGTCGCGACGTCGCAGTAACAATCTACATTCATTTGTCAATACTTGCCAGCTGCTCGTAGTTCCTTCGACGCCCGCTTGGTAACGCTATTTGTGCAGTCCTCTCTCTCATGTTAACAATCAATTCCGTCGCTTTGTCTCAGATGGGATATCGAGTGTTTAGCAGGCCTAATTAACTCTCGGTTGAATTAAAAAAAGTTACAATTCCCTACTCTCCTGCTAGATAGAACCGCGAAATACACAAGTGACTACGATGTCATTCAAAGTCGAGTGATCTAAGCAGTTAGTAAGATGTCTTAAAGAAATAAACTGCGAGGTACCAGCCGCGATGCTGGTCACGAAATTTTCTAGAATTCATGAAACCCAAAGATTCATTGTCCTGTTCGCAAGAGCCCGCTTCTAGTCCTCACTCTGAGCCAGATAAATCCAATCCACACACAAACACATCCCATTTTCAAGATAAATTTAAATATAATCCTTTTGTCTGCGACGATGGTTCTGAGGAACCGCCACGGTGGTCTAGCGGTTAGAACGCTGGCCTTGTAATCCTGGGGCCTCGGGTTCGATTCCCGGCGGTGCCCGAATTTATAACTTGTGTTGGGCGAGGCCGTGGTCTAGGCAACACGGAGTTTTCCTCCGTGGCATCCCAACAATTACTCCATTCACACACAGAAGAAGGCAATGGCAAACCACTTCTGGATCATCTGCCAAGAACGTATATGAACAGGTCCCAGACCGAGAAAATGATGGAAGGATCCTGTTCATATGGACCTGGCGTCAGACAGAACACTAAATAAATAAAAAATAAGACGTTGTATTTATGTGAGTCCGCAAGTAGACCTCATCCCAAGCGAACATCCTGTTTAATTTGCGTTTTAATATTATCCTTGCCGTCTACGTCATCTCAGTTTTGTCTTTTGGCGCCGTGTAGACTCGTAGCTAGACGCTAACGTTTCGGAGAAACATACTGCCTTCATCATCATGGTGATAATGACGGAGGAGGCAGCAAGGACCTCTTAAACGTTGGTAAAACATCTACCAGATTACTCGGCAGCCTAGAAGACAGCTTGGACACATGGAACTTCTCATTAAGTTCTTTTCCTGACCCTCTCGTCAGGCGGTGTTTTCTTTGCGGTACGGACAGAATTTTTGTTAATGTTTTGACGAACTTCGGCTTCAAAGGCATACAAGTTTGCCCTTGTGACAAATAAGATACAAGAATCTTGCAACCTCTGACTTTGATTTCACGAGTAGAAAAGAAAATTTCACTTAAGTCCATGTACATAATTAAGATACAACTGGTGCAGCAAAATTAGGACGTAAATAATATGTAATCTTTGTGACCTTTATTCCGTTTTCAGTAAAGTGCACTCAGGTCTTAGTAAAATTATTATCTAAAGAAAAACATGTTTCTATAAGATGCATTTAATGAGCCTGTGTCTGGCAATCAAACCTTGTATTAAATGCGTTCTTTTGAGGTCGTTAAAGTGTTTGTTATTTAATTGTGAATCCTTGTTTACAGTTTTATTAAATAAAAATACAACGTAGGCTAGTGCCTATATAACCCCGTCATTCCGGTCACAGTGGAATATTACGAGAAATTCCATCTTGTTTCCCGTTGAGTTGTGAAACCAGCGCAGATGTGGCGTATACTCCATCCCTGTGATATTCCAAGGCCCTTGGTTCTCAACGCTCTCTACATAAATACGCAGACGAGCATATCGTACAACACAGTCAGGATTTACCGATAGGAATCAGAAAGGCGTAAGAAGTTTTAACCCGTAAACAGAATTCAGCGTCGTCGGAACACGTAATGATTGCAAACTAAATATAATAATAATGGTTCTGAGGTATTCTCTTCCCTTCAGGGTTTCCTCACTAAAATTCTACATGCATTTCTCATTCGTGCTAACCAGACTCGAATATGAGGAATGTCATTTTGCCCCCGCAAAGGGTCAGGACTGTGAAGACGCGCGAGATACATCCGAGTGGATGGATAGATAAAGTCTGGTGGTTCCCACAAGACTTTCGGCATAACAAAGTTTATAAAATGCAGTGCCTTTTACCTGTCAGGTCGTACCACGCTTCATGAATGCCTTAACTAAACACCTCCAATGCACTTTAGATATCACAATAACAAATACGACGGATGAAAATATATTGGGGTGGAAAATTCCATATTCATTACATGATGAATTAGTTTCGGTTATGTACGTAATTTCTCACTTCTGATTTCAAAATTTAAAATAGAAACATCCGATGTTGATGCTGTTACATCAACTTATTCATTTGAGGTCAATCGCCTCTCTTCGGAGTGAGGTCGCCGTTTTAGAAATCAAATGCCAAATGTGATCAATTCTCGACGCCACAAAAAATTCTCTGTGAAAGAAACTACATATTTAAACAATATCAAGCTAATCAGCAATATCAATTTGGTAATTAGTTTACTCCAGTTTAATTAATTATAATTTTATATTGGTACTGCTAGTGCCATGTGCTAATACCGTTTATCAGTAATGGTGGTCCCTTAATTGGAAAATCATACAAGTTTAACACAATTTTCGGGGAAATTTTATAGTGTGACAGATTTTACAAGTTTCTTGTTCACACATTAAGTTGAGATAAAATTATTGACTTGTATCCCGGAGCCGCGATAACTCTTGAACTTGCTTAGCGAAATCAAATTTATTTATTGATTACCTAATAATCTCGGGATTATCCAAGGGAGAGTAATTAAGTTGAAGAAAAATGTTAAGTCCCATCTACTGCTCCTATCTGTTGCTGTAACCCCATAGATAAGTCCTGAGCTCACTCCCCGAAGTCAAGCAACTGATCTCGGAATTATCAGTCGGGTTGAAGACAATTACTAGGTCTCCTACCTCTTGCTCTGATCTGCTGTTGTAACCCCGGAGCTAACTCTTCGAATTGTTCCGTTGTAGCAAATTGTGCGAGGG